AATATTTTATCATGTAATAACTTTAGAATTTTAATTTTGGAAGGTAGATGCTTCAATTTTACGAAATCTGTTACATCATTGACTGATTGTTAATCAAAATTTTTTCAAAATACGTAGGTTAGCATTTTTTTGTCGAAAATGTCGAGCTGCATCGATTAATGGATGAAAAAATTGAACATAATAAAACGTATCATTTCATATAAAAAAGTGAAGGTGATCTTGAAATCTTCTGACATCACATCATTTATAAAAAAAATCAATACCGCCATATTATGGCTCCCTCTGTATTGAATAATAATAACTTTTGTTAATAAGTTGTTTTCATATCTTCAAAAATAACAGATATTTTGAGAATGGTAAATTTAGATGGGACACCCTGTACATGATAGATGCTATCGCCTGGAGATTTTAAGAAGCGCGATCGTTTCGTTTGGTACTTGTCGGCATGATTTTTTCAAAAACCCCTGGCACTCAAACCGGTTCAAAATGTAGAAGTAAATAGCATTTTCTTTTTTTTTTTTTTGATAATTCGATTCTTTTTTATATTGTGTTTTACGAAGAAAAATAATTTCATAAAACGCGTAATCATGAGTTTGACAAAAATGTGATAAAGTAGACGTCTTACAATAACTGTAATACGAATCAGGAAATTAAAGATACTCGAAGAGAATTGCGATTTTATTTCAACGATAGCGGAATCCAAAGAAATAACAGCGTCTAATCTTGTTCGAAATAACATCGATTTTGTTCGTTCTCACTGACAATGAGAAATCAACGAGACACAGTAAACAAGTCAAATCATAGCGCATAATGTGACAATTCGTTTTGGTATATGTCACTGAAATATACAGGATGGTCCACTTGTAGTATCGATTAAAGTAAATATTATATAATAAGTTTCTAATAGATTTGAAAATGGCGGTAGTGGGAATCATCGAACATCGTCACTGAATCACCCTGTACACCTCGACCCTCAAATAATCACATGTAACATTTTCATCCCATCAAAGCATGTATATATTCTTTTTTTTTTTTTTACATTGAATATTTTCAAAATGCAAAATATTTGTCTTTAAAATATTCAATGATTTTGAATGTATTTCTGCATAAACCGAATGAACCAAATAACGCGTACGAAAAAGAGTGGAACGACTACAGTGAGACAAAGATCGAAAAAAAAAAATTAAAGAGGATATTGGCACACGATGTGTATACCGAACGATACTTTACATTTATTCGTTCATTATACAAGAAAAAAGTTTTTCTAGCTCTAACGTTTCCGCTGACTACGGATACAGATAATAATGTCGCTCGGATTACGGTACAATGTGCGTATACAATATACAATATATATATATGTATATACATACAAAAGCGCTCGCTCGATTTACAGACCGATGTCTTTCTCTCTCGCTCGCTCTCTTTCTCTCTCTCCCACTCGCTCTCTCTCGCGCTCTCTCCTTTTGTGTCTCTGTGCCACTAAATCGGGACTGTCTTTTGGAGTTTTTCCTTTCGTCCTCACTTTTTATTTTTTTTTTTTTTTTTT